TCCATCTGTGGCTAAATTCATGATGGAGAATCTTGATTCTTTCCCATCGATTTATTAAAGTGAGTGAGTCTCCTTCTGTCTCAGGTATGGCGAGAAGAAGAGCTSCTCTGAGGAAGTGTCCAGGTGTAAGAGCTGTGAACTCGGAGAGGTCTTGCGAGAGTGGTGATATAGGTCTTGAATTTAATACGGCTTCGATACGAGTGAGTATTATAGTAAACTCCTCTTAATTGAATTTATGCATACCAGCCGTTTTCTTTAAATGGGACTTAAAAGCCGCAGTTGTCAGATCTGAAGAAAGCTCGAGTTGTACTGCCTTTGTTGTAAAACATACAAAGACAGCCACATACGCTTTTCTAAATGAAGAGGACCTTAACATCGAGGCCTTTATCTAGAAAGGTCCAGCAAAATCAACCCCAGTAATAGTAAAGGGTAGAGCATAATTGCAGCGTTCAGGTGGTAAAGCCGCCATGATCTGCGTACGCWTTTTATGTTTGTACAAGGTACATTGTTTGCACATAAAAATCGTCTTTTTAAGTTGTAGCTTTAGTCGCGGTATATAGAATTCTTGTCGGACCATCTGCTGCATCAAGCGATGCTCATCATGTAGTGTGAGCTGGTGAAGATATATTAAGAATAAATGAGTAAAACCGGATTTCTCAGGTATAATAATGGGATGCCGTTCGTTGTAACTGAGACTGGAATTCGCTAATCTTCCATTTGCCCTTATTAATCCCTTAGCGTTCAAGAATGAATTTAAGACGAGAAGAGAGCTTCCCTTTTCGAGTGGTCGTCTTTAGACCAATTTTGCTTTCTCTCGACYKAAATAGCGAGTTTGGGTGTAGGTAATGAGACTAACTTTGGCATGTTGCAAATCGATATACGTTAGTTGTACGCAAGGATCATTTATTATCCCTTTTATTTTTTGTTTAAGTCTTTGGGTGAATTTGTGCATGTAAGCKACTACTCTTAAAGCTCCTCTTCTGGATATATATTAAATTATTAGATGCAATTAAACATACATACATACATAAGCCATGAAACTTTTTTTTATTACAATGGAAAATTTATTTCAGATGGTATTTGTTT